CTCAAGGCAACACAACAGGATCTTCCTCAGCAGAGCTGAGAAATTTTTGCTTATAGGTGGCACTGGGATGGTTGTGGAATAGCACATTTTGCCATTCTCGTGCTTTATGCTGAATATTTATTTTGCCTTTCAGACAGCAGTGCCTGTTAATGCAGTTCAATAAACTGGAGGTATTCTTGACTCATCTGGACAGATGTCTATGACACATAAGCATATCTGGAAGGAAAAAGCTTCTGAAAACCTGTCTTGTATATTAATATTTCTGTATTCAAGTCCCTGAAGTTTCTTGTCTCTCCCAGATGTTGTCTCTGGTCTCTAGAGCCTTGGAGTTTTTCATGATTTGGTGAAACAATTCTTTTGACATAGTTCTTCATAGCATATAATGCAGATAATTTTCCATATTGATTTTATAGACAAATATTTGTTACTCAAGAGCTTGTTGTTTAAAGCAGAAAGATTAAGGGCAGTCATGACTCCAACACAAGCAGCTGGAGAAATGTCTTCAGTACTTTCTTTTTTTCCTCAAAAGCCCTTTAAATTCTTTGGGGCAACACGCAGTTTACAATCAGTCACCCAGAGTTCCCAGGATAGCAATGATGAGACTGTGATCAGTCCCATTTTGGAGGCACTGGGCACTCCTTCCTGTCTCTGATGGCATCATTATTGGTCCTGGGAGGCAGCACAGCCAAGCTTTTTAATACTTTAATTTGCTCTGGTGACCCTACCTGCTGCACCTCATCATTCCCTTGGCTGCAAATATGGAAATGTCACTGCCTGACAGTGAAGACAAACAGGAGATGTTGAAGCTGAGTACCCTTGCAGAAATCTGTGGATAAGAATATTTTCATTTCCTTTGCTAAGTACTGATGTTATTAAAAGCAATTCACGATTCTAAAATTTGCAGCATACACTAGCTCACCAAGCAACTGAGAAGAGAGTGGCAATTAACTTAATGAAAGCCCTGGGAAGCAGTCAGATTGCTCCCTTCAACCTAGGGCAGCCTCCTGCTAGCAATCTGGACAGAAAAAGCTCCATATCCCATTACCAATTCTCTTCGACATGCAAACCCAAGAAACACTGATAAGAATCCATGAATAATTAAGTTTAACCTGATGTTAGCAGAAACTGGATTGGGAATGTTAGACTCTTCATTAGTTCACCGGTAGGAAATAGCCTGGATCAAATTCAGTCTGTAAGCAATTCCTTGGAAACAAATAGAGCTAATTCAGCAAACACTTTAGTTCTGAGTCTCAGGGTTAAAGAATATGCTACATTCTTCCATGGCAGAAAATTAAAAAGTTATATAGATTGCCTTTTATAAGTTGCTTATGCTAATAGTTGTCTTTAGTCACCAGATGCAAATATTTCCTACCCACCATGAGGAGAATCAGACTTCCATGTTCTGGGAGTCTGGGCCTGCTTCATCTAAAAACTCCCTCCCTGTGTTTCCATACTGCCCCTCATGAGGATATTCCTCCTCCTTTTCCCAAGGATCCTGCCACCCCACTCTTCCCTCACCAGGATCTGTGCATTCCTTAGTCCCTCTTCCCCAAGAGCCCTCCCTGCTCACCATGCCAAGGGCTGTGTGCATCTGCTAAAGAGATGGCAGCTGTGCCACAGGCCCCTCATTTACAGGTTTTTGATTTCCCTTCCCTTTTATGCCCACTGATGCCCCGAACAATTCTGGACAGACTGAATGAGTCAGAATTAATCAGAGAGGATAATTAGGTTCTCCAATTGCCAACATTTTGAGTGAAGCTGATCAACAGCCATGGTGAAATAGCCTGAAATGAAGTGACAGCAGAAAAGGATGTTGAGGGAACTGCAAATTGAGAACTATCTAGGAAGTAAAAAAAGCTCTGCTGCAATGCATTAGGGCTACCATGGATCAGCTGCTAGTCAGCATCCTGTGCATTTACCAGTGTGTAAAGTGATACCATGATTTAGGTCCATGCAGGTTATGGCCATGGATAGCTGTGGCCAATGGATGGCTGGTGGATTTAAGCCACTACTCATGAAGAAGGGAAAATAAAAGGCTTTAAAGCTGGAAATTTCTGTCCAAAGGAAACATCCTAAAACCTGGATATCTCTCATCACAGAAGATGCTTTACATGAATCTCTAAGAACAGTTTTGGGTATCTCATCCAGGTCTACATTGATCCCTTCTATCTTCTGCAGCACATGGACAGCAGCTGCCATTTGTTAGAAAATGGGGACACTACATGAGAGCTTTCCCAGTTCCTGAGGAGCAGCAACAGGCTGTTCTAGAGACTGCATGTATGGAAGTGTTGGAGGTAAGAGCTCCTCTCTGCCCAAGTTATTTTCTCCATGTCTTCATTTTATTTTGCTCAGTTTGAACATGAAGTAGGCCTTAAATGTAATTTTAAGTGTTCTCTGTTGCCTACATCCTTCTTCACATGGCATATTTGGGTATATCTTTTCTGATGCTTTTACCTTTAATGCCTACAATTCAGAGTTCAAAAACTCAGCTCAGAAACTATAGGAAATAACTTTCAAATAAAAAAATCTAAGCTCCTAGTTTTGATCAGACAATACCAGCACCAGAATCACAGAATCATTAAGGCTGGAAAAGACCTGTAAGACCATCCAGACCAAGCAATAACCCAGCAACACCATGATGCTCACAGCTAAATTGTATTTCCAAGTGCCACATATGCGTGCTTTTTGAACACTTCCAGGGATGGGGACTGCATCACTGCCCTGGGCAACCTGCTCCAAAATGCTTGACAATCTTTTTGGTAAAGAATTCTTTCCTAATATCTAATCTGAACCCTTCCCTGGCATAACTTGAGGCCATTTCCTCCTGTCCTGTCCCATCCCTTTTCACCTGGGAGCAGGGCCCACCCCCACCTGGCTGCAGCCTCTTCTCAGGGAGTTGTAGAGAGTGAGAAGATTCTCCATAGCCCCCTTTTCTGCAGCTTAAACACCCCCAGCTCCCTCAGCTGCTCCTCATCAGACTTGTGCTCCAGCCCTTTCCTCAGCTCCATTCTCCTCTCTGGACACACACCAGCCTCTCACCATTTTTCTTGAGGTGAGGGGCCCAAAACCAGTACCTGAGCTTGGCCCCACCAGTGCCCAGCACAGAGGGATGGTCACTGCCCTGGTCCTGGAGCCACACTATTGCTGATAAAAGCCAGGATGCCATTGGCCTTCTTGGTCACCTGGGTACAGGTGACAGCTGTGACCTCTGATTGATTCTCATGTCTATAAGCACTTCTAACAAGCCTTGGTGTTACTTGGCTTGTAAGAAGGACTTCAGCATTTTATAGGCCTCCTCTTTCCAAAACAAAGAGGAGGCACTCAAAAGCAACATCACTGCAGAGCAATGAGGTACCACCTGAAAATTTGGTGGCTTCATATATCACTCATGAAGAAAGGCTTCCTTCTATATTAAAATTAATATCTCATGCAAAATAAACCCCACCAAATCTATTTCTAATTAATGTGTTTCTTCTCATGATTGTTCCTACTCTACGTGCCAGAACTACTAGGATTCATCCACAACCTGTTCTTTCCTCCCACCAGTCTCCTGGTAAAGTCACACAAAGGCTTTCTACATGTTGTGGGTTAGATTTAACCCAGGCTTTTCCCCAAGATGTAATTTTCACATCTCTACCATCAGGGACACCTGAGTGGCTCTGACATTCAGAGCAGGAGCACTCTGTTTTGCAGGCTTTAAAGTTAACAGGCTGATTTTCCAGCTTTAGAAGCTTAAACAGCACAAAGGTTCAAGCTCCTTTCCTCCCCTCTCTCCAAGATTCAGCAAAAGCACACAATGGAAAGGAAGATGAGAACAGGTAGCAGGTTGAGGCTTTTGTTCCCTTTCTGCTGTGATGTGGGGACAGTAGAGATTAGCTCTCTGACTGATGCATTTGCTCCAGTTGTGAGGGAATGCTCATATTCATGCAGAGTTGGAGATTTTCTAAATGCTTCCAGGGATTGGACTTGTCTGTTTCAGCCATCCAAGAGCTGCCTGTTTGCTGCCCTAGAGCAGCTGTGAATTAGCCCCTGCATCAGGTGGGCAGCTCCCCTGCAGATACACCAGTCCTCAACAGCTGCTGTGTTATCCTGAGTGCAGCTCTAAACTCACAGGAGAGCCACTGAAGTGGATTAAGCCACTGCTTCATGGTATCCACTCTGGCTTTTAAGAGGCTCCTATTATGCCCCCAGCAGAGGTGTTTCAGCAAGCAGGAGGCCTGGAGAGGCTGATGTAAAGGGCTTAGATAGGAATCAATGGGACAATCAAAGTATGATCTGATTGGGAGCCCTTCAAATGGAGAGGGCTGGGGGAAGGATATCAGCTTTACACTTCTGTGAAATTAGAGCCCTGGTGTTTGTGATGGTAGTAAATCATCTGTATAACAGAGAATGGTGTTGTAACATCAGATCTTGCCTTTGCTGCACACTGAAGCAGAAGTTAGACTGAAAGGAGAATTTGGTAAATGATTTTTGTTGAAGGCAGTATGAGCCAACAGGCACTCCAGCCTTGGGCAGCTGAAATAGTCACTCTTTCCCCTCACACCACTTTGCTTCCACATGAAATCCCTTCTAATTTCAGCTTTCACTCAAGCTCTACAAAGGGTGGCACAGTCCAATAGCCTGCATACCCTGCCAGTGAAGCATCACACTAACCAAAACACATTCAGATCACTTTTCCTGAATCCTAGTCTGAAACAAAAGAGCATGTGAGAAATGAAATTAATTCAGATGTATTCCTCCCTATTTAATAAGCAGTCATATGGAGAGGAACCAAAATGCTGGCTCAGAAACTCCCAAGCTTACCTCCTTGCTTTTATTCCTAAAGCAAAGGAGGCATTTCTGTGGCATCGAGCAGATGGCTGAAATAAGCATCTTTCCTATATCAAGCTCCATGTGGAAGCTTAGAATCTATGTTAGGTACGAAAAAGCTACAAGCTGGAGGAATGAGGGGGTGGGGATGAAGGAAGAAGGAGGAGGAAAAGACAGGGGGTGGAGAGTAACACTGGAGAGCAGCAGTGGTCCAGCCCCTCAGAATCTGTAAAGCATCACAGGAGTCTCTGGATAAAGACCAGCTTCAGGAGCAGGGCTAGGAGACAGAGGATTTCTGCTCAGTGATAAAACATGGTGAGTAGGATTTTTGTGATCTGCCTCGTTTGCTCTGTGCAATGGCATTTCTTTTCCTCCGACACAGTGACTCTGAGTATTATTTTGGAGTGACTGCTTGTTTTTGAAGTATTGCTTTTTACTTCTTTTTCCATACATATGGCAAGTCTGTGCCTGCATTTATAAAAATGCACATCCTATCTCCTTTTAAAGCAATAAATTACTGAGCACAGCCAAAGCTGTCAGTGTTAACACTTTGCTGTCTGGTACCAAAAGGCTGCTGGTCAGGTCAAGAAAAAAAAAGCCTTGTTTTCTTCTCAGGTATGCAGTGGAAATTTCTGCTCTGCTGCCTTCTCTTAGCAGTACAGCGATGATCCGAAAGCTCCCTGCGCAGGAGTTACAGCTGCCCTTTTAATGATGTAATTGGAATTACATGATGTAATTTCAAGCCAGTTATGTTTCTTTCAGCCTCAGGTACAGAAGAAAACTGAGACAGGGGTGCAGAGGTTTTGTCAGAGAAAGAGCCTCCTTTTGTCATGGGCTCAGCCTCCTTCTGCCCTGCCACACACCCCGTGCGTGGCTGGGGATGCTGTGGGTGCCCCACACGGGGCGAGGGGATGCTTTGGGTGTCCCATATGGGGCCAGGGGATGCTGTGGGTGTCCCAGATGGGGCTGGGGGATGCTGTGGGTGCCCCACACGGGGCAAGGGGATGCTGTGGGTGTCCCAGATGGGGCTGGGGGATGCTGTGAGCATCCCAGATGGGGCTGGGGAAGCACTGGGTGTTGCTGTGCTGTCAGGGATCCCTCCTGTCAGCACACAGCAGGATAGTGAGCTAGGAGTAGAAACGTGGTTAATTTTACTATGAAAAAATCCTGAGCTCCACAAAACAGTTGTCAGGGCTTAAAAGGAGGTTGACTTCCCTATAGCACATTGCTAATAAGATTAAGCATTTAACTACACATCTTTCTAGTATTCTGCTTGGGAGTGTAAGATTTTACTTTGTGTGCTCAATGGAATGAGGATTGAATTAAAAACACACCAATATGCTTTTTGCTGGTTTTTCATGAGAAAGCCATTGCCTGACCTGAATGTACATGCAAACAATTGGGCATCCTGGGTTACCCGAGAGAGACAAATGATTAAGGGGAATGATAAGATACAGCCACTAAGGATGATGAGAGGAGTACTCCTAAGGAGAGGCATGATCTCAATGCAGGTTTGTGTGTCACACAGGCGCCTTTAAAAATAAACATTCTGCTGCTTCCTGAATCACGACTGTCCCTGATTACATCCTCCATCCTTTCCACCCTGTTCTTTTCTGCTTTCTAATGGAGATGAGATGGTAGCAGAGTAATCAGTTTATTGGAGAAGATGAGCCCTGCTTTAAAATCATCTTTGCTTTTTACCAGAAGAACTGATACGTTTATTTGCTTGCTAGAAACAGTGTTAACAATAACTGCAGTGAGAATATCACTACCCTCTGGCAAGGAAGCCGTATTCTGCTTCGCAATTAAAAATCAAATTAACAGAATGGAATATATGTTCGTGATTATTAGTAAGTATTCCCATTATTCACTTTCATCTTCTCAGCTAGAGAGTTAATATTTTTCCCTGTAAATAAACAGTCTTATTCCAAAAATCTCCCTCCCACTACACCCTTTACTGGGAGCACCAGCTGTTCCTTATGCACTGCTAATTGATTAGATACTAAAGATTAAAATTAGTGTTGTTCACTGACTTTAAAAGTAGCTGTGGCTTTCACCACCTCATGCTTGCTTGTTTTGTGCATTTTAGAACTCCTAATTGGTGGCCAGTAAAAATCCTCCTGAGGTTAAGAATCAGGAGAGCCTCCCAGAGTGCTCTGTTCTTTCCCCCTTTCCCATTACATCATTTATCAAGAAATATTTTTAAAAAATTTTAATCTTAAAAGGTATGGCTCTGAATCTTAATGCATGTCCATATACCCAAACCAGAGAGATGCTTTCAGGAAATATAATTATGCTACCATTTCTGATTAAAAAGCAGGGTAACATTTTCAAAGGTACCTCTGATACTCAGCATCTTAAGTATGATTGGGATGAAGCCACTTTTGGAAAAGGGATTTTGGACTCACTCCAAACGTGTATCTGAAAACATAAAAGCAGTACAAAGAGATGTTTTTCCTTATTTTTGAATTAAAAAGCCTGAGATACTATTCAGTGTTTATCAACTTTTTATTTAATAAAAGGAAAATGCTTGGAGGCAGGTGAAATTCCGGTGCCAAGTGATATGCAGAACTCTGCTTAGCAAGAGGCAGCATGGCATCACAATCTGCTAATTGTAAGAGTAATCTAAATGTAAAGAAAGGACCCTCCTATCTCCCCTTCAAAATCACTACATTCTGAATTTAACCTATTTCTATCTCCAAGAGAGATGATTATATATAAATTACACATCAAACAACCAAGTAAGAGAAGTCCAAGCTGGATAGCTGGTAAGATTTTGAAATAAATGAACCTCAATTACATTTTTTCCTACTTGAGCAAAATTATTTTGAGCCAAACTTGCCAAAGCTGGAGACTTTATCTAAATTTCCTCTTTGTAATAGTATTATTTCTATCCATACAACCTCACTGAAACAGTTGCCTCTATTTCCCAGTAGGATGGTATTCCTAGAATTACATACAAGAGGACTGATATTTTACCTTTTCCTTGAAGATAGCCTAAACAAACCTTTCTGCTGAGTTATGAACTAGAAAGATGCAACAACTTTGACCCAGCCAAAAACCCAGAGTAAGGCTCTCTCACATTCTCCCACAGAGGGAAACTTGTAGTTGGCTGGCAGAAAGTGCTGGGGCCATGGGCAGAGGCAAATGTGACCCTTCTCTTTGACTGACATGACAGAAGCAACATCTGCACAGTTTAAATCCTGCCTCCACCCATTTTCCTAATGAATATCTGGCTCCATTGCACCCCTCTTTGGTCCTTGTATGTTGGCCTGGACTTAGGGATGATTTAGGCCATCTGAATATGGCTCTTATTAGCCAGAACAGTTACCTAACTGAGCCTTGCTCACCAGATCCAGAAGCAATTGCTTTGATTGTCCTAAAATCAAGTCTCCTCAGCCCACAGGAGTGTGTTCATCTTTCCATTCTAAAACTTTAATTTACTTTCAGATGAATCACAGATGCAGTAAAACCTCCTGATTTTCTGAAGAGGCTGTGACACACCCTGCACAGATGGTATACGTTTGAGCATGAAGCAACTCTGCATTTTATGAGCAATATTATCCAAATTTAAAAGAAAACCTTACTACCATTATGGTATCAGCCTCAAATCCACGTCTAATTGCTTGCTTAGACACCTGTGAAATCCTAAAAGTGAGCAGCTGGTCTGATCAAGCCAGATAAAAAGTACTGTTTACTGTGGATGGGAAGCCTCAGTGCTGCTGCTGAACCCAATCTTCTTGTAAAAGACAACTAAACTGTAGCCCAGTGCAAGATTTGAGGATGTCTTCTATTTATACACATTCCATAAGCAATTTTGCAGATAGTAAAAAACATTTTGTTATTAATGAAGAAAACATTGAGACTCTCAGTACATTGACTGCTAGTTTCCACTGGTTTCTGTTCTTTACAGTGACTTTTAATTGCAAGTTGTATTTCCTTTGCAAAGATGGAAATCAGGCCCTCATATATCTTTTATCCCTGTGGAAGAAGTGATATCCTGCAAGTCCAAGAGAAGAATAATTGAAAAGAAACAAAGACAGACTGAGTGCATGGGTCAAGAAATTCTATAAAAATGTACTATGTTTTAAATGTCTGTAATAATTTTTCATAGAATTTTGATTTAGCTTTATGTAACCACTGGAGGGTAACTTTCCTTTACAGCACTTTAGTCTGTTTCTTACTTCACTGGTATCATGGTATAATTCATTCCAATGAAAAGGGCTAAAAGTATTAATAGATATAGAAAGACAGAATAATCACATAAATATTTCTGGTCTATTTTTGGAAAGAAGTACACTGACAGTTTACATCACCTGAGTATGAAGAGGAACTCAGATTATGGGAAGTTTCAAAACAGCATCTAAGATGAATGTTTTAAAAAATCTGCAGACTCTGGTAGTTTGTCCTGAGGAGCCCCCAAAGAGTTGACTGAGGAGGTCCTCCCTTTCCTCTGTTCATTTTAAATAACATTTTTAATGGGGAAGTTTTACAAAGATACAACAGTCTTAGAATAAGCAGGATGGCACAATGAACTAGATATAAGTCTGGCATGAATCCTGAGGGAGTATTAGAAATAGAATATATGGGAATAAATAGTAACATTAAATAATTAGAATACAAATTTGGTGATTAGATATATATATTGTAGATTAAAAAAAAAAAAAAAAAACCAAACCCAACAAACCAAACTACAAAATCCCCACAAAACCAAAACAACAGCTAACACTTTTTCCTCATCAGAAGAAGCTGAAAAGGCAGCATCAGCTACCATCAGTGTATCTTACATTATTATGCTACAGATATTCTCAGTAAATATGTTACTTTGGCCATTTTGGCTTCAAGATAAAACTGCTCATCTAATCTATTAAAAAAAAAAAAAAAAAAAAAGACAGAACAAGCCTTGAAGTTTCTAGACCCAGTTATCAAACTGGTCATCCATTGTGTTTCTTATCAGGGAGATACAATTCAGACTAAACTTTACTTTATTCCAAAGATTACCTCATTTCATCCTAAATTCTTAGCTTTACTATATTGCATACTGGGCAGTAAATAAATCCATCCCCCAAAGCCTTTTTAATGCATCTATGGAAAAGTTCCCAAGTATGCAATATCCCACAAAAGTGACCTTTGCTCAATACTCAGAATGGGCAGAAACAGCTGCAGGACTTCAAAGAGTCCTACATAACATTGTTGTAAGGCTGGCACTTGCCAATGTCACAGACCTCTGAGGAGCTTCTTGGCAGCACCAGGGACACAGGGACACAGTACCTATTTCTGCACTTGCAGAGGACCGAGGTGTCAGACACTCTGTTTCTGGGATATTAATAACTGGTCTTGCCTTTTCTGATTGTTCTCACAACCCTGCTGGAGTTCTGCATGCTGAATTGCTTGTCGATCACACCTTGCTTTTCAGAAGAGGAGCGTAATCGTGTCCCAGTGACCTATTTCTAAATATGCAAAACAAGTTTCCCGCAGCATCAGTGAACTCCAGAGAGCTGACAGGGTAGTAAAATGTTTACTGACTTTCATTAAGAATGTTCTGTAACACTTGCATGGAGTGCCAAGTAGAAATGAATGTGCCAACATCTCAATCACAATAATAGACGCCCATCTATCACTACCCACCATGTTTCCACCACACGTCAAATATTGACACTTTGCCCTTATGTTCTCTACCTTTTGTCACTGACCTACATTTATTTGTAAATACTGCTAATCACCTTTGAGCTTGCAGCTTCTAGAAGAAGGGCGCTGTCAGTGATCTGCCTGCTGGAGAAGTGCTCCCAAACAGACAGTCCTGCAGCTTGTGAGGTGATGGTCAGAGTGTGGCTGTTCCAGCAAGGCCTGGCAACTGGAAAGCTTCTGGAGGCTATAGACAGCTGCTATAGTTCACAATAGCCTGAAGACTGCTTTAGGTTCTATTCTAGGAGTACAAAGCCTAGGCTTGGTGCTGAATTTAAAATCTTCTGTTCAGTGACTCCAGTTGTTTAGTTATGTCTAACCAATTCAAAACAAGATAAATCATTAAATGAGGTTTCATAGGGGAGAGATCCAAGCATGTTCTTTCAAGAACAGGACTTGGAGTTATTCTGCTGTTTCCCATCAAGTAAAACTTTGGTTGGTCCAACAGCTTTTAGGCAATGGTTGCTTCATCCCTGACCTACCTTTATGGAAATTCATTGACTTACTCGATATTCAAGTTGATGCATGACAGGAAAGGATCAGATTTTTCTACAAAAGAACTGGAAAAAAGAAAACTGGAAGGAACATGGCTAAAATAATTAATAACTATTTAGATTTATGAAAACATAAAACAGGTTCAATACTAAACTATATAGGTAGAGCCTGGAACTGGCATTGATACAGGTACTAGAGTATTTTTAGACATAGATAATCAATGCACAGTGAAGACTCAAAATGGCAATGCCTCTGTGTGTTACACTGGTCTTTGTAAATTGGAGATGACACTTTTGTCATGACTAACAATGGTTTTCAATGTGGCATTTTTGATTTTTGACAATAAAAATAGCAGTGTAGAAAATTATATATTATACTCAGAGGGGAGCAAAATCAGTAATTCAGTCTCTGCATGCTTCCAGAGTAGTACGAAGGTTTATGGATTTTCTATTCACAGATAAGGATTATTTTAATATAAAGTAAGCGTTGTGTATCAAAAGTTTGATCTGTTTTCTCAGGAGATTTTCCAGCTTAAGATTTTTGTCCTCTTCCAAGAACTTCAGCCTACCTGATACACACATTTGCATGTTAAGTTTCTCAGGCGTTGCTTTTCATTGATGCCTCTTCTACCTTCAGAACAAGACTTTTACCTTGTTAAAAGCCATCCTGAAGTCAAAATCCTCAATGCAAATCTGTTTATTTCTAATAGACGAAATATTCCGACCCTCAACTACCAACCCATAATGTGCACTATTTTCTTCATGTTGAATCTTTCACCAACACACCTTTAGTTTCACTCAATCTGTTTCTCATGCAGCACCATGACTCATTGATGGAAATGTGTGATGGCAAAGAAGCTCAATTTTATAATGCTTAATGTTTCTTCTTTTGTTCTCCAGTTGCATTCAAAATTTACAAGCGCTACCCACCAACCTCACAATAGTTGTGTTCTGCTGTTTTCTTTACAGAAACAGATGTGAGGAAGCAGTATGGAGCTCAAGAGAGGCAAGACCTTCATAAAATCCAGTGTGCAACATGAGAAAGTGCCACCAGTACATGCAGCTCCAACCAACAAAGATGAGATGGGCAAAGACAAAAAGGCAGCTCTGGAGGGAAACCAAAGTGTGGCCGAAGTCCAGCTGGCATGTTTGGCCACACACAAGAACTACAGATTTTCTACCAGAGCAGCAAGGAATGGAGCTAGTGGTCACAACCTGGAAAAATCATCTGGCTCCTCCTACAAGCTTGTAAGGAAGAGTAAAACCCATGACTGCGTTGCTGAGGCGGACAAAACAGAGAACAGCAGCCCCAGCAGCAGGGCTTGTGAGGAGGGCTTGGTTGGAAAGGGCAAGGGCCGACTGGTCAATAGCATCAGCTTTTCAGGGATGTCCAGCTCCAGCAGTAAGAAGGAGTGTGTGGTCAGCCCCAGCCAGTCTGCGTGCAGCAGTCAGATGATCGATTACAGGAACTTTGTGCCACAGATGCCTTTTGTACCAGCTGTTGCAAAAACTATTCCCAGGAAGAGGATTTCCCTCAAGAGATCTAAGAAAGGGCTCAGAGATATATTTCATATAAGAAAAAATAAACCAGACAGTTTTTCATTTCTGGTGGAGAAGGACAAGAACCTAGCCTCTCCAGGCTGCAAGAGTGAGTTATCTGGACGTCTAGCAAAGTATCTTTTCAAAACTGGAGAAACTTGTGCAGCTGATTGCTTGTCACAGGACTGCTCAGACAGTGAACTGCAGTCTGACTCCTCCTACGACTACTGCAATGCCCTGTGTGAAGATGTTGCCTCCCTGAAGAGCTTTGACTCCCTCACTGGCTGTGGGGAAATCTTTGCTGATGAGAGCTCTGCTCACCTGGAGCTGGAGAACAGCAAAGACCTTCTGCTCAGGCGAAGCAAGCACAAAGACAGCCCTGGCATGGGCTCCTTCCAAGGTGGGGTGGAGCAGCTGGCCTCTCCTGGCCAGAATGAGACAGTGGAATTTGCAAAGTTTTGGGACAACATCAACAAATCAGTAAGGCTGCATCAGAGTGCTCTCTTTGAAAAGAAGTTACTGAAGATACCTGGTTCTGACGCAGAAAAGGATAGAAGTCAGGCTGCTGTACTGGTCACAGACCCCCAAGTGTCACCTGATAAAGAAGGTGACAATTCCAAAGCCAGCTCCACAGAAACAGAAACACCAAAAAGTGAAAACCAGGAATCCACATCCACGAGTGATGAAGGCTACTATGATTCATTCTCTCCTGGACAAGAGGATGAACTAAAGGAAGCTCAGACCCCTGGTGTCCCAGGTAGATTTCCAAGAGACAGCTACAGTGGAGATGCCCTTTATGAGCTCTTCTATGACCCAAATGAAGTCAAAGTAAACCCTATCCTTGATGATGACTTGTGTGCCTCTGAAAGTGTTTCAGAGCAAGCCATTGAAATCCCTTTGTCCATTTACAGCTTTCATGTTGGAGCTGAGGAGAACATGGCTTCTCAACCAACTCTAGACATCATTAGCCAGGGTTTTTTTCACAGCACATGGAAAGGCAAAGAATGTTTGCTAAAGCTCTGTGATACTGAGCTTTCACTGACCATGGGGATAATAAACTGGCTACGAAAACACTCCGGACTCATCTCCTCCCCTGACTCCCTTCAGAGTCCTCAATCACAGCCAGAAAAATCTAATGATTCATTGATCCTGCCCAGTCACAGTCCAGAGCAGAAAGGGAGCACAGAAGCTGAGCAGGAGACACCAGGCAAGGGTGAATCTAATACATTTAATGTATGTGTGCCTTTGGAGCAAAGAAACCGTTCAACCCAGGCCTCTTCAGTAAACATTGCTGGAAGAGATCACAACCTGGACTCATCTGATCTGGATTTCCAAGGAAGAGAAGGGAGTCACCACACGGACTTATCTGCAGTGCCTGGGACTGTGGAAACCACCAGATCATCAAGTTATGCACCACAATCACAGACTAACAGAGACAATCTGCAGACATCTTCAACTGAGAATGAGAAGGTAGCAGTTTCCCTGGGATGTGAAACAACCCAAGATAAAAACCCACTGCTAGAAAAGCTGAACAGAGACAGCTTCTCCCTGAGCTCTGAAAATCCTTCATTAGATGATAATCAGGAAGTAGAATCATGTTACTCCTACAAGACTGCTGCGACTTCACTCCGAGATCCCCTTGAGAGGGAAGACAGAAATAAACCAATGTATCACTCTCTCTCTATTTCCTGTGATAAACCAGCCCAGCCTCTAACCCTCAATCACTTCCAGAGCTACATGAGCCCCACACCAACAGAGAGCAGCACTAACATAGTGCAGCTCTTAGAGCACTGTGTGACACAGGTGGCATCATTAAAAATCAGCTATGAAAACAAGCACCTGGAAGACAAATACATCGGGAATGAAATGAACAGTATCATTCATAAGATGTCTCAGTACAAAAACAAGTTATTGCTGCACAATGAATGCAGCTGCATTGCTCAAATTCCAGAATATCCCATCATTCCTAGCACAAACCAATACAACTATGAGACAAATTTCCAGACTAGCAGTCCGTATCATTTGAAGCAAAATGGGAAGCAAATTTGCTCTGAAGATCAGAAAAGCAGAGCAAAAATCCTAGATGAGGTTACTCAAAGCAAGATCAATTTTGAATATGCCCAGCTGAATAATCAAGCTCTTTCCTATTTAAAGGACTTTGGTCTCAGTCCAAGTGACTCTGGCCCTGAGACATCTCTTAGTAGACCAACATTTTTACCTCTCTTTAACTCTGTCTGCCCAGACATAGCTGGTACCTTCTCACAGGGCTCACACAGCACGGCTGTCTGTCTGTCTGACCCTGTGCAGCCTGAGGAGGCCCAGCAGTGCTGCCCAGGACCCTGGAACTGTGCAGAGAGCCCCTGCCATGGCCTGGCTGCAGGGACTGCTCTGTCCCCTCTCCTAGAGGCAGTGGCTCGGGATACAGCTTTGACAGCCAGGAACCACCAGTGACACACCTGCATGGAGAAGGTGAGTGCTTAGGGGAAGGGTGAAATTAAATGTGAAACAATTCAATCTGTTCCATTTTCACTGAGGGACATTTAACAGCAGTGGAGGCTGAGGCATTCAGGGTCTGTCATTTATGCAGGGGGTCACATGAGGAAGCCAGGGATCTGCAGTGTGAAATCACAGGGCAGATGTGCCCTGTCCTGCAGGTGCACACATATGGTGTGCTCTCAAGCACAAGGAAAAGGCCACAGCGCTGTGCTGATGCTCCTAAATGCACCAAAAGGATGCTCCTCCTTATTCCAAACATGAAGTGTTTCTTCAGAAGGTGCAGCTTGTCTCTGGCCAAACTGTGCTGTGGCAGAGCAAGAGCTGAAGCCAAGGCATTCCCCACATGCAGGGCTTGACAAGCTTTTCAAGAGAGGGATGACAGGGTCTGTGCTGCACCTCAAGCATTTGAAAATCCTCCAGCCACACTCACATAGCCTCAGGAGAGTCAGAACCTGCCCTGTAAGAGGGGTAAGAAACACCTTTGCTGCCGATCAGAAGCAGCTGGTGGAGCACGCAGCGATTGTGTTGGTTCAGGTTTGCCTATCACACAAGGCTTTAGGCCAGAGCAGGCCCTATTTGTACAGAGTTCTAACTCTGTGCCAGCTGAGAAATCCTCTGGCCTTCAGCTGCTGAGAGGAATTTGTTACAGAAGTATGAAACATGGGTAAATTCTCTGTCATGTGCCCTGCCAAATCTGACAGATTGGCTGGACTCTGCCCAGCCTTGGCCTCTGAGAAGGCCCCTTTGGAGGTGGTGGAAGACAAAGAGGAGGCAAGGTCCAGGACAGAGAATAAAGGAACAGCTCACTATTGAACAGAAGGATACAGGATTTCTTTGGTTCTTGCTGCTCACAGCAGTGTGACTGCATTCTGGTCATCTCTAAAGGCTTCCCAAACAGCACAAACAAAAAAGGACAGTTTCTCTCTGCATGAGGCAAGAACACCTTTCCATTTTCAAGTCTGGGTAGATTTAGCCACCCTCATTTCTATTTATGTCGCTATGAAAATGACCTTGCCCACTAACAAGTCTCCCATTGCAGAGAGGGATATTTTTCAGGGGTCTGTGTGAAGCTAAGGGCCAGAGACTGTCAGTCTTCCATATCCTTAACAAACACATTGTTTAGTTATAATATGTTCATCAGTAAATTAGGTCTTTCTCAACTGAAAGAAGTGATCGTGGGTTTTTTTCCATTTTCGTTGTAAACAATGCTGCATTTGTGGTGGTTCTGCTGGTTAGCAACTCACCTTGTTGTGTCACCAGAATTTTTAGCAGAACTTGCCATCCAAGGACACACCATAGTCCTTAGAACTACTCATCTCTTTTAGATATTTCTGAAATTATAAACTGAGTACAGATGAGGCAAAGTTTGTGCTTACAGCAAGCATATGTATGGAACCAGGACTAGGCACAGCTGCTTGGGGTTAGGAGAACAGATCAATGTATGCATTGGCCTGATTTTTTTTTTTTTTCTGTGAATATTAATCCACAGGATACTGCTAGGAATATCACTGCCTTTCCAGGCTAGGAATGGAAAGGAATTCTAATTTTGAGGAGTGGAACGATAGAAACAGAGAAGGGAGCTGTGTGACTGTCAGGAGTGGTAACCGACTGTATCTTTACACTGCACAAGACATAACACAAGTAGACATTACTGGACCTGGGGCACATTCTTTGCATTGTATCAAGTGGCAGCTGCTGTGTGCCACCACGTGCCAGCACTGATAATACCTGTCATGGCAGGAACATGATCAGGTCAACCTTCCACCCAGAGAAAAGTCCCAGAGAAAAGACAATTCAAGCTTTTTGTTTCCAAGAGGGAACTGATGATTTTTGAGAAAGGTTTCTCAAACAGTAAAATAAATGAAATTTTAGAATATGGATGGGATTTTCATATTCATAAAGTGACTCTGAGGACTGGGCTCATTTTAAGGGAATGTTTAATGGCAAGGTTGCCATTTGTTACGATTTTTTAAAGAAGAAGAATTTAGACTATAGTTAAAATGTCATTTAAAAGAACTGGCTGTGAGGACAGATACAAACACTGGTGTGTGACTGAGTTTTCCTACGCGATATTTTCTTGCCTGCCCACATTAACAGATGGCCTACAGGTTTGCCGGAAATTTTAAATCTTTGTGAAGGTGACTCAGGAGCTTTGCCTCAGTCATGGGGGTGGTAGAGCAGGAGAGGCAGTGTACAAACACAGTGTCACCTCTGAATCCATGGAGACAGACAGCCCTGAGAAGCACTCCTACGCTGGACATGACTGCAAACTGCGAGAGCTTAGACACAAAGAGAGCTCTAAAATGCCACACCTAGGAGCTGTGAGACAAGTGACAGATCCAGAGGTGGCTTCTGCTTTGCCCCTCAGAACAAATGCAGCCCCTGATGCTGCCATGGACTCCCAGGTCTGACCTGAAGGAGGTGAGAAGAAAGTCACCTTTCTTGCCATTTGTTGCAGGGCAGAGGAAAAGCCCTTATCAAAAGCCATTAAAATCTCCAGGTTTTGTCAGCCCATCTCAACACATCCCAGGACCCACAGTGACAAATAAGCCCAATCTCTCTGCTCCAAAAGTTGTGCAGGGTTCCCCTGGGCCATGCCTGGTCTTTTGGGCTTTGCTACCCTGACAAGCACAGACACAGGACTGTGATGAAGAATGGCACAAGAAATGTCAGTCACAGTTCCTCTTCCATTTCTCCTTTCCCTGGCCTTTTAGAGAGAAATCTGCAAATGTCTTGTATCTGACCTCACCAGGAACCCCAAGCTTTCTCACATGGCAATATTGAAGGCTTATGTAGAAAGTGATAATTACAGATAAAAAATGCAATGAAAAGTATAATTTTCATTCTTCAGTATCTAAAGGTTAGGACTTAAAAGTGAACACAGTCCAACCCCTAAATACAGAGAGGATTCCTATATCTGTACATTCATGGATCATTGAAAAAAAGCTGCAGAAATTTGTGATTTTCAACCACATGTTTTTCATCAGGAAACTTCATTTTCAGAAAGGAAGCACAGTCCTCAAGCAGTGCATTGGGAGGTCTTTTCCTGACTCTTAAAACCCCTGGAAGTGACCAAACAGACAACACTGGATGTCAAAGCTATTGGACACATGGAGAACAAAACACTCCCTGCAAATGGCAGCATTTCAGACCACTGAGCCATTTCTATCACTTAATGGGGTTTGAGCTGCATCTTCCATTAACTGGTAGATGTGGCAGAGCAACAAAACCTCTTGTGCCCCCAACAATATGTGCTCACTTCATTCAAATGCTGAACTGCCACATTATGCACCAGTTGAAGATTTTGGATGTGTTTCAGTGATAGCCCTGAAAGGAGTGCATTGCAATAAGCTTGCCCTCAGGTCAGAAAAAAATACATAACTGTCAATCAAACAGGGATTGCTATAATGGATAGAGCAGATGTAGATAAAAGAAGACAGTATTGCATATGTGATTGCTGTTATCAAGGAGCTGAGATTCAGAAGCAGATAAAATACAGCCTAGGCACTGCAAAGTGACAGAGGAATGTGTACCTGATCCTCATCAGCTCAAGGGCTACTCACGGTCTAGGCAATTCCTGTAATGCTTTTTATTCCCTCCTGGCTCAGCTTCACTCCCTCTCTCTTAAATAAGGTTGTATTTCTCCCAGGCAGACAATATCTCTATCAGATAGGCATGGCAAAGGCAGACTGCAATATTTGGATTTGATAAAACAGAAAAGCAGAATGAAGTCTCATCTGCATATAGGCAGTTTTCTGCTCAAGTAGGGTATTATTTCTCAAAATGGTCAGAGAGACACCTTAACAGGTGAAAAAACAAAGGCAGAACCTCGATGCACACAGCAGGAAAAGTGTATGGTAGCTTTTGAACTCTGGTGTAAGAAATCCTCCTATTTCCATGCTCCCTCCATGGCATGGTAAAGGGATGGTCTCTCAAACTGCACATGATGAAATGTAACGAGAATAGAGCACAGAGACAGTCAGCACATTTTCTGCACTGGAAATGCCTCTGGCTCTGAAATACACACCTGTATTAAGTCAGTTACCCAGACCATGTTGCAGTGGCTATAGAAATCTCATCTGACAGCCCACCAGCCATGCACACACACTCCTGATCAGACAAATGCATCACAAGGTACAAACGTCGTGTTTGTCACACGCGGTACCGTGGAAGCAAAGAACAGGGAGACAGAGGTGACAGGTCACTGCCTCTGCTAATACATTTGAATGTTAGTCACCATGTGCCCAGATACTTGGGCTAAATGCTAAATTAAACGATTTTCTCCTTCATTAAATGCTGTTGCTTCTGGACTTGGCTCTGTCTCACTGCACTGTCTTCATGGTACTTTGTCATCAATGCTCATTCCCAAAATCAGAATTCTATCAGGGGGAAGAAACGTTCTTGCCAGTGTACTTGCTAGAGGAGGGTTTTTCCACACTGTTATCAGCATGGATAATCTCTTAAATGCCAGATGCACTATAATGTGTTTCATTTAAAAACTGAAGAAATTGATTTGCTGCTTTACCCGCTATTGCAGCAGGATGGTTTCCATGGATACAGCCTTATAGGGACTCTGTTTTCCCCCTGTTGACAACAGTGCAGAAAGCTAAATTCTCATGTTCACTGCACCAGCATGAATTTGAAGCCAGGGCAATGATTCCCAGATTTAACCCTGAGAGCAGAAGTTGGCTCCCAGTCTCCTTCAACCTTGAATTTGAGATTTCTGAGGGGATAGCAATGGAGGGAAAAAAGAAAAAGAACAGCAACATGGTCTGAAGGACAGGACATATGAAAAATACAGTGCCTCTGTATGAGAATGGGGAGAAGTCAAGGCAGAGTGCAAACACACTGACTGCTCATTCAGTGGCTTAGTGTCTTGCCTGACATTTAAGTGCAAAAATACAAGTCAGATTTGGGCTACAAAAGTTTGGCTATAGAATTATGTAATTGGGCCCTTTTTGTTTAAATGAATC